ATGTATTTCTATTGGTAGTATGTTTCATGCCTGCACCAAATAATAACAAATTAGAAGGACATTTATTTTTTATTTTTTAACTCAGATATTATACAATTTAAAATAAAAGGGTCAGGATTAGGCTTTGGGTAAGATATTGAGTAAGAAAATATTTTTATGAACCACACAGCTTCTGGTCTTCCAAGACCCGACCGGACAAAAAGACGTGGTGCAGGCACGAAACATACTACCAATAGAAATGCTTTTAAAAATCTGTGTGACACGAAAAAAATGCAAAATTCGTGTCGGTGAACACGAATCAATAGATTAAATTAATTTCGTGACTATAACACGAAATGCAGTGAGACTGGGTTGGACACACACATATAATATCTAGCCTGTAGCTCAGTGGATAGTGATCTGGACTTCGAATCAGTGGATAGCAAGTTCGAGTCCCACTGCAGTCAGCATGTTGTTCTATCCCTGGGCAAGACTGTGGGGATTGTCCACAGTACTGTAAGTCACTTTGGATAAAAGTGTCTAACAAATGACATGTAATGTAATGATATACACCTGAACATCAGCAGGAGAGGACTCTTTAAAGTAGAGACACTACATACTGATATACACCTGAACATCAGCAGGAGAGGACTCTTTAAAGTAGAGACACTACATACTGATATACACCTGAACATCAGCAGGAGAGGACTCTTTAAAGTAGAGACACTACATACTGATATACACCTGAACATCAGCAAGAGAGGACTCTTTAAAGTAGAGACACTACATACTGATATACACCTGAACATCAGCAGGAGAGGACTCTTTAAAGTAGAGACACTACATACTGATATACACCTGAACATCAGCAGGAGAGGACTCTTTAAAGTAGAGACACTACATACTGATATACACCTGAACATCAGCAGGAGAGGACTCTTTAAAGTAGAGGCACTACATACTGATATACACCTGAACATCAGCAGGAGAGGACTCTTTAAAGTAGAGACACTACATACTGATATACACCTGAACATCAGCAGGAGAGGACTCTTTAAAGTAGAGACACTACATACTGATATACACCTGAACATCAGCAGGAGAGGACTCTTTAAAGTAGAGACACTACATGCTGATATACACCTGAACATCAGCAGGAGAGGACTCTTTAAAGTAGAGACACTACATACTGATATACACCTGAACATCAGCAGGAGAGGACTCTTTAAAGTAGAGACACTACATACTGATATACACCTGAACATCAGCAGGAGAGGACTCTTTAAAGTAGAGACACTACATACTGATATACACCTGAACATCAGCAGGAGAGGACTCTTTAAAGTAGAGACACTACATACCAGAGGTGGGGACTCGAGTCACATGACTTGACTCGAGTCAGACTCGAGTCGCATATTTTTTGACTTGAGACTTGCTTGACTAACATTGATAAAAGACTTGACTTGACTTTGACTTGGTATTCATGACTTGAGACTTGACTTAAGCTTGAGACAGATGACTTGAAAGGACTTGACTGTTTAAAATTAAATATTTGCTTTTGTTTTTGTAGTGAGATATTACATTTAGTTTTCAAATGTGATTGGGTGATTATAGCGCCATGCGCGCAAACCTGGCAACCCACTAGACGGCAGGAGCGTCAGTTAACATGGCAGCGGCTAGCGTTAGAACAGCGGTATGCAGGGTCTGCAGCATAAAGATCAGTGACACGACCACCACAACATCCAACTTCATTCGTCACCAGGGGCGGACTGGGACTAAAATTCAGCCCTGGAATTTGTTGTCATGTCAACGGGGGGGGGGGGGGGGGGGGGGGGGAGATCAGATAAAATAATACAGTACTATTAGTTATTGGAAATCAGCTGTTTATTATGCGGTTCAAGGGATAAATTCTCCCCTAAAGAGAAGAGGGAGGACACTCCTCAGATGTCTTAACACATGGGACATCATAAAGCAGTACACACACCAAAATCAGATGTTTATTAGGCTGCAGTTTAAGGGATAATTGTCACCTAAAACAAATAAACAAGATTGTCTGAGGCGGTTTGTAAACCTAATGTTGGGGGATCAGCAGTTTCTTTAGTAGGTTGCTTTTTTCTGCAACTCTGTCGAGGGACATGAGGATGTCTTTTTCTGTTGACATAAGCATGAATGCTTCCAGGTGTTCTTGTGACTGTGTGCTCCTTATTCGGCTTTTGATGTGCTTGAGTACAGAGAAACTTCACTCACAAGCTACCTGTGTCACAGGCAGAGTGAGAAGAAACTTGTATCCTAAACCAAGGAGCTGATAGGCTTCTGTGAAGAGGTTGTAGCGTTTCAGAAGTTGGTAGCAACATATTGAGCATTCTTTACAAGAGTTGCACTGTTTGTTTAAAACCTCTGTCTCTTCTTCCTCACAACCAGAGCAAATTCTTACTCTGTACTCTTCAAGTGCAGACATTTTAAGCCGTGGCCACTGGGCTGCCAGACACTTCAACTCAGACTGCAAATTTGCAGCAGTTGCCCTGCTGTCAAATTTAAGCAAGCATTTGCTTAGATCTTGAAAAGTCGAGTCAGGCAGAGCTTCTGCTGAACACACTTGGGGAAAGTTTCTTGGATCAAGGACAGCCAAGTCAGCATACAGAGTGCCGTGGGTCATGAAGCGTCGTTTGATACTGTCTGTGACAGTATCCAGTGCCTGGTTATAGACCTCTACTTCATAGGCCCTGTTTGCATCTGTCAATCTCTCATCACTTGCCATTTCGCCAGCCATCATCTTCCTTTTCCTGTTCCTCTTCAGTGGAAGGGTTGTTTCCAACTCAAGCTCACAGTCCTCTTCTGCCTCCAGTTTTGCATTTGCCCACTCAACAAAAGTATCAGCAGCTGTCTTCACTGTCATGAAATCTCTTGTCATGTTCATCAGTGCATGTTGAGTGTCCAGAACCATCCTGTGGGCAGACAGGATATCTAGTCCACATGTCTGCAAGTATTTTGAAAGAGGTGTTGTCACTTCAAAAATCCGAAGGAAAAGCTGGGCAGTCAACACCGTCTCGTACCTCAGGAGCGCCTCTAAGAATCCTCTTGCTCTGACACGCACTGCAGGTTTCAAATTGGCCTGACTTTGAAATTCACTTAGTGTCATGACGACATCAATGTACAGAGCCTGGTCTGGCTTTCCAAATGAGCCAAAGATCTTCTTCAAGGCTACATCTTTAGCCCACCACCGTGTCTCTCCAATTGGGGAGAGGCGTCTGTGTCGAGTGTCCTGGCTTTTATGCTCCCACACATTCATTCTTTTATATGACTCACGAATGAACACAGCAATGTCATTCATGAGGGAGAAAAGGGACCCACTAGCTATGGACACTTCAGTTGTATCAGACAGAACGAAGTTTAGCACATGTGCATAGCACCAAACATGTACATGGTTTGGGACTTTGGATGACAGGAGTGCGGAGAAGCCTCGATATTGACCCTGCATGTTGGACGCACCATCTGTAGCATTACTGATGCAGTTGCTGATATCCAAATCAAAACGATCCATTACATCTGTCAGCATCTGGACAAAATATTGGCCAGTGGATGCTTCACATTTGACCATTGCCAGAAGCCTTTCCTGGACAGTGTCTGTGACGTATCTCAGAATCACAGAACACTGCTCATGGGACGTAATGTCCTGGGTTGTATCTATTTGTACAGAAAACATACCGCTTTCAGCAACCTCTTTTGCAATGGTCTCCTGAATTAGCCTCTGCACTGTGGAAAGGACGTTGTTTACAGTTGTTTTGGACAAGAATGTTACAGCAGAACCCCGACCTCTAGCCTGTGAGTGTGACTGGTGCATCTTCTTACTTTTTTCTGTGCACTCAGTGAGATGTTCTTTCAGACACACATCATATTTTCCAAGAAGAATGATGAGCTCTAGAAAATTCCCATGGTCAATGTTGTCATCATCTAGTGCAGGGGTCGGCAACCCCTGGCACGCGTGCCAGCATTGGCATGCGGCACCGTAGCCAGTGGCACACTAGGAATAAGTCGAATAAGTGTGCAAAATATTTAAATTGTATTTTCGGATCCTGAACGAGACCGCCGCCAGAGCGCGTCTCCCCGTTACCTGCAGAAGGAAGCCATGCACGCAGCGCAGCCCCGCTCTCTTTAACTCCAGGTGACTTTCTGCCGCTTTCCTCCGTGGTGCAGGGCTGATCGTTTCACCACGGAAGAAAGCACTTCACAAATTGCAGTACCCATAAGGAGCTTTACAAATGTCGCAGTTTTTGCGTGGCTGTGTGTGTCTTTAGTTGAAAGCCCAGTGGCGATCTGCTCATCTCTCATTGAAATAATATGCTACAAAGGGGCGGACTGGCCATCTGTGTGTTGAACTTTCCTGTCGGCTCCCAGACCGTAGTCGAGGAGGGCAGAAGCAACAAGCTTCAGGTTCAATAACCCACTTTAGCTTAAATGACTGGAGAGAGGCGAGCTCTTCTTGAGAGGCCGTTGCATTTATTTAGCTGTTCTTCTGTTTCACAAAATACATCACAGACCTCTGTTTTTCTGCTGCCTCGTTTCACTTCCAGAAACATACTCACATGCACACGCCACACCCCTCTCTCTCTCTCGGACAGCGATCTCATCTCACTCTGCATGACCCTAATATCATAACATGTGTGTTCTGGAGAATCACAGAACGGACGATCGTCCTTATTATTATGCCGTTTAAACCAATTATTTAAATGTGTTTGTTAAATTCGGCATCATGTAAGTTGCGCTGACAGGTCCACACACTGCTTCCCCGCAGCGAGGCCCCCCCGCCCTCCTGTTGATAGATCACGAGCGTCAAGCTCCTCAACATCCTCAACACCCCCCCCCCCCCCCCCCCCCCCCCCCCCCCCCCCCCCCCCCCCCCCCCCCCCCCCCCCCCCCCCCCCCCCCCGTTGATAATTCTCGATCGTTGACACGCTGATAATTTTTTTTTTTTTTAAATGGCACTTCATATCAAAAAGGTTGCCGACCCCTGATCTAGTGTATGCTGCCTCATATTCCTTCCCTCTGTAGAGAGGACCTCTTTCCTACGCACTTGACTACATCTACCACACGTTCCAACACCTGCCGTTTCTTCTTCACTTGATCTCTGTGGGCCACTACTTGTGATCCATGTAGTAGGCTGGCTATGTCTGATTTGGATGCCCTCAAAAAGTAGGCCTCCGCACACATTCTATGCATGATGGTCCTTTCGTGTTCCTCTTCTCTCTGACTGATATGGTTCCAGTCCTGCATGCCACTTACAAAGGGATTGTTTTCAGATGGCTTGGCAAATGCTAAACATACTGCACAATACAATGTGTGGTTCTCTTCACAGTATGTGAGCCATTTTCTATCTGTGCCGTTCATGCGTTTAAACAGTCTTTGTACTGTCAAATATTTTGTTTTGGTCTGAGGGTGATAGGAAAAAAAACTATTGAGACTGTGATTGTCAGAATTTGGGCGTTGAAAATACCTCAGGCTTGAGCTGCCGTGTGAGTGGCTGTCATCCTCAGCCCTTGTTCCATCCTCAACCTAGACAATTATAAATTAATGTTAAAAATAATGTTAATTATTTTTATAATACTATACTACTTGAATTAATACTTAATAAATGTTGACAAGTAATACACTTTTGTTTAATCTATACTTTTTTTTAATATTAGTCTATTACACCTACTCTCAGTTTTATTTATTGAATTGCTTACATGAGCAACACACTAACTGGAAAAACTAGGTTGAATATACTTGTCTTCTCTATAGTACTTACCACCTCTTGCTCTTGCCCTGCACTTGCATGTGCCAGTTGAGCTGGTTCTTCCACCAGCTCAACTCTCTGTCCCTCATGAACGCAGGAGGCTGGCTGTATATATGACATCGCGCCCTCATCATTCTCGTCTTCATCATGCACTTGTTCTAAGCTGCTGGTGATGATAGTGCTTGTAGTTGTAGCACCACTGCTGCCAAAAAGGTCTGTCAATTTGCGACATTTATTAGCATTACCTGCGAGTAACTTCACCTTTTTTTCTCTTGCCTTCTCGGCGCCACCTTTTTCTTTCCTTTTTCTTAGATTTTTATCCATGTTTTGTCATTCTCCCTGTCTGCTGCGGCGTCTGTGTGGCCGGTCTTTTTTCTTCTTCGTGTGTGATTATTTGACAGATAAGAACCACACAACTGCATTAGCGGCCGCTGTCGCCCTCTGTCGGCCGGAAGCGCAACTTAAATGATGAAGTTAAACCAAAAACAATTAAAGGGCCGGCCGGCCGTCAACTGCCCTTGACCACCGGCCGTTCTGTGGTTCTCCAGATTCTACAGATGGCCAGTCCGCCCCTGTTCGTCACTACAAAAAAACCCACAGAGAAAGGTGCGTGAATGTGTTGTGTTAGCTAGAAAGCTAACGTTAAGTTTAAGCTACGTTAGACTTGGTTTCAAATCGATTAAGCATTACAAAGAGAAGACAAAACGGTAAATGAACACAAGAACCGCCAAGGGATTCATTTTGTACTAACCCTGATACTGACGGGCTGTCAGGAGAGGGAGAGAGAGAGAGGGAGAGAGAGAGAGGAAAAGAGATGCCTCGTTTATTTCCCCTGTGTTATTATCAGAAGTTACTGTAAACTGTTGAATAATGTAGTTCATCTACTTTTAGTAGTTTGTTTAAATGTTTTAATGATGTTGTTTTTGTTTGTAGAAGTGCATCATTCCTTGATTTATTGTAAAATGAATCTGAACTTTTTGATCTGTTATGATGATAAACTGAAGCCATTTCTAAATTAACCCAATTAAGTGAGTTTTAAATCGTCCTACTTAGTTTATAAGGAAATGATGAAGAGGAACAAATGCAATGATTTGAAAATGATATCTATGTAGGTGCTGACGCTGTTGGCGGTTCTAGTGTTAACAGACATTTAAATTAAATATGTGTAATGGCAAATGCCATATATGATTTTCTTACCTGGAATCCTGCCTTTTTGAACAGACTTTTTGACTGAGTCCTAGCTATATTGAGTCCTAGCTTTATTGTCTGCAGTTCTAGGGTTAATATGAATCTAATATGATTGTCATCGGTCTAAATTAGATTTCAAATGATTAACTGTGTATGTAATGAAGATCATAGTGTGGGTTGAATCCATTTTCATAACCACTGTCTTTTAACTGATTTAAATGCGGAAACTGGGCTTATTCATCAGAATTTTGTATGACTTGACTTGACTTGACTTGACCTGAGCAATGACTTGACTTGACTTACTTGACTCTCACCACAGTGACTTGGGACTTGCTTGATACTTGTAGGTCAAGACTTGAGACTTGCTCATGACTTGCACATGTAGGACTTACTCCCACCTCTGCTACATACTGATATACACCTGAACATCAGTAGGAGAGGACTCTTTAAAGTAGAGACACTACATACTGATATACACATGAACATCAGCAGGAGAGGACTCTTTAAAGTAGAGACACTACATACTGATATTTTGGGGGCCCTAAGCGAGCTTTGGCTAGGTGGCCCCCCTCACTCTAGAGCATTCTCACTACACACAATACGGAACCAACTTTTGTCTTATGATGTTAGTGTAAAGGGTTAAATCAGTTAATTGTTAAAAAAATAAGTTAAGTTAAAAAAGTGTCACCTCCATATTTGTATTGTTGATGTCTCTTTAGAAGTAATTAAAATGTATTACATTGCAACTGTGTGGCGGACTGATCGCTAGAGGGCGATACCACTCGGGGGCAGAAACTGCAGATTAAATCCTGCAGTTGAGCTACAAACAGCTAACATTTCTGCCTCGTGTGTTTGTCATATACAGGTGGGTTCTAAGTCCTTCAAATGACACCATAGTGTCCCAGTATAAGGGGTATAAGTGTTGTGAGTGTGTTAATGTAATTGAGTGTGATGTGTCTAATCGTTATGTAGGCAGTTATGTATAGTTATGTGCAATGTGACGCTAGCGGCTAGCGGAGCTAACGCTAAGGTGAAGGTGAAACAGTACTGCGTAGACACGTGTTGCTCGGTGTATGATGTAAATTACTATGAGAGGTATCTTGTGTTTATGCATATAGGTTATATATGTTTCTTTGAAGTGTGTGTGTATTGTATTGGAATTTTAGTGTGAGGATAACAGTGAGTTCTGAGTGTGACGATTTTATTGTACATTTCTGTTGTATTTTGACCATGATGTCATCATTATTCTCTAATGTTGTTGCCTCATAGAAATGAGCATAGATAAATGCTTTTGTTGTGGATGGTTTCCAAATAAGAAGATTAAATCCTGCAGTTGAGCTACAAACAGCTAACATTTCTGCCTTGTGTGTTTGTCATATACAGAGGTAGAGTCTGCTGCTGGCCCAGGTACCCCTAGGCCTGAGGCCAGTAACATTAGCATAAGCACACATATTGTATAAATAAGCATGTAAACACCGTGGACCTCACCTCCTCTAGGGGGGTCCTCACCTCCTCTAGGGGGGACCTCACCTCCTCCAGGGGGGTCCGGGGGCATGCTCCGCCGGGAAGATTTGTTTTTAAATATTGAAGTTAAAAGCATCAATCTGGTGCACTTTGAGAGCAAAATGAAGAGCTCCATGGATACATCTCTCAACACCCATATCCATAACAGAACTGTAAACAGATTTTTCTTTATGGATATTTTACAAATCACTCCCCTTTTAAACTGTATTCTTGTTTTACTGTCATATACAGATGGAGCGTCTTATTTTGGACAGTTTAAAACGCGAGGGTCGTGATTGGTTCGTGCACGGTCCGTGATGGCCGGCCGGCCCCCAGTCTGACTTGATACCGCCCCCGTGATAAATAAATGTAATTATTGTGAAGCCAGCTGCAATGGATCATTGATCCACCAGGGGGTGCAGTGGGGTTCCACACTGGAGTCATGTGTGGAGTCTTGTACAGTATGTCTGGTACTAATGTATAGCGGATCTTTGTTAAGATCCATATGTCACGGATAGGATCATAGTCTGTGCTAAATAAGACATGTAATCATTTACAAAACATCACCATGTTGTTATTTAACAAAATAATGTTGTTTAGTCGAAAAAAACGAACGAGCCGGCTCTCCCGATTTTTAATCCTAATTTAATCATCATCATTGTTTATGTTCGCCGAATTGACATGAAATCACTGACAAATATGAATATTCTGTATTCAACTTCATTGAAACGATCAGGATGGGTGTTATTTTTCCCGTGTATTACATGGCCACATTCTCAACAAAGTTACGTAACGAAACATTCTGTATTCCTTGCTTACTTCCTTAAACCTTTTCTCCTCCTTATCTCTTTCATGACTTTTTATTTACAGTTGACTGTATTCAACTTCATTAAAATGTTATTAACGTGCCTAAACTCAGTAATTCACTAAAAATTACTGATCCCTCCGCGTCGCATAGGGACCCAGGGATCTTGATCCCTGGGTGTAATTTTTCCCCATAATGACCAAGTCGCTGCAAATTATCCCGCTTATTACATGGCCACATTCTCAACAAAGTAACGACATGACTCCCAATATTAATTAAAATGCTTTTATGGATTTACAAAATATTTGTATTGATTTAAAAAATAGTTGTATGTATTGATTTAAATTTACATGCATCCGCTAAGAAAAATAGTCCGTTGTTACCGTTTTTTAAACAGTCAGAATGAAACGGCAGCTCTCAGCTGTGTATTTACACTCCTAATGGCCCATCACAGCTCTCCCCCCCCCCCCCCCTGATCTTTCTTTTCCAACAGTTAAGTTAACTGTAGGTTACTCTGAGGCACCGTTTACACGAGGAGAAAACTGCTTGTATCTGCATAGTTTCGCGTGCGTATAGCCCTATTATTTACACGAGGCCGATAGAAACTGACCCCACAAACAATAACGGGTCCCAAGGTGGATAGATTTGCAAACGAAACGCTCTGGGGGGTCAACCGAGTCCGTGTAATCACCTTTATACGAATATTTCCTGAAAAAATAGTGATAGCCCCGCCTCTCCCCACCTCTCCTGCTCACTGCTGTAGCAACTATCAAAAATAGCTGTGTTAATTAAACGCACAAGGGGTTCTTGAATGAAATAATATTATAAAAGGCAAACCAGAATTGTTAACGCCCAATATACTCCTTAAACAAAATAAACAGAGTCAGATTTCATGCATTGATCCATTATATTGACAAAGGAGGATCTCACCCGGTGTTTGTAGAGAATATCTCTCTCTTTCTGAGCCGTCCTCTCCACGGAGACGTGCTTCAGTTTCTTTCAGTTTCAGTTTCAGTTTCGGGGCTTAAACAGAAGGGTAGCCATGGCAACATTGCAGCGGGGCTGCTCGGGTTGCTCTTCTTCGCGGCTTTTGGTGTATTTTGGCGGAAGTTACAGCGCCACTTACAGTCCCAGCATATGTACTACAGCGTTTCCAGCGGCCTCGTTTGAACAGACACGTTAAATGAAACAAATGCATGAGAACGGAAGACTTTTTTGAATACGCATACTGTGCATAAACGCAAACGGTCCCGTGTGAGCGGGGCCTAAGTGACAAGCTTACAGTTAGTGAAGTAACACTTTTTTTTTGTGAGTCACGACCTGGCTGTTTCATTCTAACATAACGCTCCAAATACGACTGTTTCCACTCGGACTTCAATACAGCAACACCATTGTTTGATTTCCATGGTAGCGTGTCTCTTTAGTAGCGTGCACTCCTTTCCTGTAAATTACAGGTCCAGCCAGGCAAAACAGTAATATGAAATATGAACGTTAGTTTTTAACTGAAATGATCAAATAAAGTCAAAATGTCACAGTGTTTACAAACATTGACCATACCGTTCACCAGCCCCCACCCCCCTATGTTGAATATAGCCTACTCTTTGTTTAAAACGAATTGGCCATCGGAATGTGTGTGTCCCAACCCCCCCCTTGTGATATCTCTTCTCCAGCAGTCTAGGTTTGTGTTCGCATATTTATGCTGTCGCAGTTCCTCTTGTTTCTATCGCGCATTGCCGGTATGAAAGGGTCTGTGCCGGAAATATCAAGATAACACAGCAGGGTCCGTTACAGTTTGTTTTCATCTGATTTCAAATAAACAAAGTCTTGGCTTTCAGAATATTAAACTTGTTTCGGCAAATTTAGATGATAAATACAACTATGGAGCTTGTAACGGCATAATTACTTAAGCGGAGAACGGAGTAAGTTAACGTTACAGCAGGCATAACAACAGCCGGTGTTTATTTTATTATAATATATAGTCGTTATTCATTTGTTTTAACTAAATAGGCCACCATTGGTAGCAGTTCTCATTATATACTTCTCAGTAACTGCTCCCCTTAAATTAAATGTAAACGTTCACCATCCCCCACCCGCCTACTGT